CCAGAGGCATTGTTGTGAAAAACCGGTTTTTCGCCTGTTACTAGCAAAAATTAAAATCCTTATATCTCGATCAAATCTCATGCTGACTCAAGGAAATTTTCAGAAAACGCTCAGGACAGCTCATAAAACATAATCGTCTAAAAAATAGTAATCCCAATGAATAAAACAATCAAGTAAACAGGAATTATGGTATATAAGTGCGACGCTAACAAAAAATATATTGCAAAGAACCAGCGTTTTTAATGATTGGTGGGTAAGCTTTGTTCTCGATGAATCAGAGTGGGTACGAACAAATGATTTCCTTTGTTCTCGATGACTCAAAGTGGATTCTATTTAAAACACTGCAAAGAACAGAGGATGTTATTGCACTCCATTGATTCTGAATCTGTACCGTATTTATATGGAAAAATGGTTGTGGGGTACCGTATTGGGTAGCGTATTAATATAGAAAAATGGTTGTGGAGTACTACTTACGTAGATGGCATTTTCTTTTTGTTATCAGAATTGATTGATTTCTCGCGACATCTAACTCCGACATTCCCTTGTCCGAAGGATTTCCTTTGTTCTCGATGACTCAAAGTGGGTTCTATTAAAAACACTGGTCTAAGTACAGTTTTAACTGATGTTTTAGTCTAGCTAACGATTAAAACTTGGAATATGAAGCGCGTGAACAGTTGCATCTCATGGATGACTAGTTTTCTTTCTGCTTTTTTCGAACTCTCTGTTGTCCGAAAATGTTAGTCAGTTTGTGTACTAAAACTTTTCGAGTTTTGGTATAAACATGACTTCAAGTCATGTTTATACCAAAACTCGAAAAGTTTTGTCAGTTAACTAAAAGTTATTGACTTCTAGTTAAGAGGATAGTTCTAAGTGCGCTGATTACTGTTTCGTCACTTAATTCTTGTATTAGTTGTCAAAACGCTAATCAATGCTAGAAAGTGATCGAAACTTTAAACTGTCTACCGTGTTTTTCCATTTTACGTGTTTTCACTAGGCGTTATTTCAGACCTTTAGTTATTTGCACAAATGGCATTAGATAATGACAAATGTAAGCGTAACATATGTACGATAACAGACGACGACGATAATGTGAGCGCCAAGAGAAAAGACAATAAAATACCTTTTAACGAAATACCAGATATAGAAACTGAAATATTGTCTTTAACGTCAACTGTCGTTAATGAAATAATTGCATTATATATTTGTTTTATCGATGGCGATATCGATTCTCTATTACTAGAAAAAAGGCTAAACAAACTTTTGGTTATTTGTCCTTCATTGCTATTGTATAGCAGAATCGAATATGAATGGCGTTACGATGATGAAAATTTATTAAAGAAGTTGTTATATATTGTGTCATCTATAATTATCAATGTTCAGTATCGTAAATTTTTCGATCAAAACTCAAAATTAGCAAAAAGCAATTTACGTAATTTATTACATTTAATTATTCAAAATAATGTTTTTCAAAATTTCGAAAATATGTCCGAACCTATTAACTCGTCAGCATATTTTTCATTAGTCGTTACCATTTTGATACCAATTATTTCACATAAACAAGTGTCGGTGCAAGATCTACAGTTTTTTGGCACAATTTTATCAGATTCAATAGTAACAAAAAACGTTGATAATTGGGCAATATTGAAAAATGTTATTGAGCTGTTTCGTGCAATATAACATGTCGAGTTTGTTCAAAATATTTATCTGGACCTTATCAATGATGAAATTAAAATGGGGCAACCATATGGCAAAACAATGTTTAGAGGTAAGTTAGGTGAGCCTTGTTTGAGTATTCTGAGCAACAGTACTATTGATCAATGAAAAAGCTGTGTTTAGGGAGCTTTGTGTTCAGTTTTTCGAAACAAGGAAGAGATGAATGTGTTTGTTAAACAAGTGCAGGTTTGCCTATAAGTTCGGCACTACCGAGAAAAGAATGCCGAAAATTTGTTTCCGTACTAACTAGTAAACATTTTTAGCACGGATCCTTTTATTTGAATCCGAAAGTCTGTTCTGTAGAATTATATAAGTTCGATTCGGTTTATTATTGTTTTAGAAGTAATCAACGAAACAATTGATGAAGTAATGATAAAAAGAGGAATTTCGTTTGTAAATTTATCAACGTGTTTTTGTGGTATAACCTGTTTCAACAGAACGTTAGTCATTAATAAGAATATCATCGTATTATCATTAATAGAAAATGCTAATAAATTGGATGACAACGCCATAATATTCGCTGGGATTATTATTATTCTTTTACATGAGTTTTTTCATATTTTACGGAGAACTTTGATTAAACCAGCGTACTGTCCCTTTTACCATCGTACTCCGAAACGAAAAATATCGTTACGTGGTGATATAGAAATGGACGAAGGTGGATTCCAGCTGGAAGATCGATTATTTGGTTTTATATATAACACCGTTGGTTTTAAAGATGCCAATTATTTACTTAACATCAACAAGTGGCGCATTGTATCCCATGATAAATTCAAAAGACGATTATTAGACGTACAATTATCGGATGTACAAGAAAATGCGGATTCAAATCGATTAGTTTTACCCTGTAGAGGCCAGTCGATGGAAGTTAAGTATGATACAAAAAATACTAAAGTAGAAAGTGATTCAATGTCGCCGCCTATACAACGACTGGATCTTAAACGATGTGGTGTCTCGTACTGCAGAATCGATACATGATAAGTGCAATAAGTGTTCATTGTTCGAGCTGCAAACATAGCATGTCGTCAATTAGTGTCGCATTTGGTGCAAAATGATACTATGTCAGTGGAGAAAGTGTCATTTGATGAAATTTTCTTGTACGACACACTGGTCTTTTATATCTGTTATGGCTTTTTTATTTTAGAGCTCATCATGACAAGTTGTCGTTTAGTTTCTGCTAAAGTTCTATTTTGTTCTCGATTATACTCGTTCTGAGTTTCTGTCAATAGATGTAGTTTATGCTCAGCAACATGTAACTGATCAGCAGGAACAAATTGCTTTATGTTTTGTAGCATAAATCTTTATCTACATAGTATCGTCAAGATGCACAGAAAACTGTGATGGCGCAATGAAATATCAGATAGAAAGCATAGATATCTTCAAACTAGAATAGTCATGAGACATTAAAATACTCTGGTAATGTCACCACTCATTACGTTGATCATGAAAGCATTTGAAAAGCTCAATGGATTTAAATATTATCACTTTTGAATGTGTAACTGCGACTGATTCGTCTCTGGGTTTATCAACTACTTTTTCAGAGGTCCTCGGAAAAATGGGTTTTAGAAAACATTCGTTACATGATTTGACTTGCAGAAATACATAATTAACAGTACACAGGACAGAATAATATATCCTCCCGCTCGCTTTGCAACTATAACAAACTGCCTGGTTTGTTACCAATTGATGATTTCTAAGAAAACCGCAAAAATTTCAAGTGTTCTGGGAGAAAAGTATTCTGTGCATGATCTCGCGACGATTCCGACTCGAAACAATAGAAGTCGACACCAGTTTTGAGGAGTGACATTCGATATTTTTGAACTTATGCTCGGTCTATGAGACCGGACTGTAAAGACGGTCCGTTAACGTTACCACAAACAGGCAGTTTAAAAAGCGGCAATTAAAGATCTAATAACAGATCACTCACTGACGTGAGCGAAGAAGATGGAGTCTATATGGTATACCATAAACGGACAAGCCATTCATCTCTTCTATTTTTCTAACACTAGTTCTCTTCGAATATTGTAGAATTTTTTCCTTCCCTCTATATACAAGCCAACTAAACTTGATTGGAGAAGATGGTCCTTCCCGGACTTGAACATATACGCAGTGGTCATATAGGCGGACATTTGATCGAAAATCGAAAGTGAGCTTTTCTATCATTTAAATAGTATCAAATATACAACGTTAAATTCGCCATCGAATGGCGTAAAAAGTTTTTCTTGAGAGAAAAAATTTCCTTGAGTCAGCATGAGATTTGATCGAGATATAAGGATTTTAATTTTTGCTAGTAACAGGCGAAAAACCGGTTTTTCACAACAATGCCTCTGGCGAAGTTATATTCATTTCTACACAAAA